GGAGGCGGGCGGCTCTGTGAAGCGAAAAATATGAGTTAAGAGTTGTATTTCCATGAAATAATTCCACTAAAATTAAAATTTAGTCAAAGCGTTCTAAGTTTCAGTCAAATATGCGCCGCATACACAACGGCGCGTCGATGCAACGCTGGCTGCCGAGCCTTACCATTTTGGGTTATGGCAGGAAGCGGAGTAGAAGGAAAAGAAAAAAGCGAAAGAAAGGGGAGAAGAGAAAGCAAGAATTTCAGAATTTATGAATTAAGACAGAAAAAATATAGAAATGCTGAATGTGCATTTCTAGCTACAAGTCCTTCGGTTGACGCACCGCCGCATTACCGCTGCTGTTGCACTTTGCATTGAGTCTACAGTTGGGGTGCGCCTTAGAGAATAACTGAAGGCATAATGTAGAATTACTATTAAAAATAAAAAATTTAGATAAGTCTTTGTATTAATATTGCATTTATCTCGTTTTTTGCATCCCTGTAATAACCCATGCTCAGCGTCACCGCGCTTGGGGCTTCTGTCTTCTTACGCCGAGACCTGGTGGGCTGTGTTGCCTGCCGGGTTTATTACTATTACGGTTTCATTGACATTATTTCACTAAAAATATATTCAAGTATATGCAACGCGAAGAAAAAATTAGTGAATTGATGTTGTTCTCAGTCGGGAATTAGGGTGGCGCGGCCAACACCGGTACACATAAGCGGCAGCGCCTGCCTCTGTGTTCTGTATTTCAACATTTTGTCAAGAATGCTGCTCAACAATTACACTTTTTATTGAATTGAACAGATATGATACCAACTCGGACGGCTGCTCCAGAGAAGCAGACCACCAGCAAGCGCTGACCGCGCTCGTGCGCATGCAGCACAATAACATGTCTGCCCTGTTCATTTCTCCTCTTACTACGATAGTCTCCTGCAAATGCATAGACAGGAGCCAGTAGATGCAAGTAATCTAGCAGCGGATGCATGCGCTCCACAGCAGCAGCATGAACGTCTGCAGCAGCAGCAGCCGCAGGGGCATGCGCAGCAGCAGCAACCGCCGCAGCAGCAACAACAACAAGAACAGCAACAGCAACAACAGCAGCAGAAGCAACAGCAGCAGCAACAGCAGCAAGTAGCTCAGGCGCGCCCCCCGGCTCTGGCCTTCACACACCCGAAGGCGGGCTCGATGGTCATAGCTTCCTTGCGGCAGCAGGCGAACCCAATCATTAAGTGAGGAGTTTTAGTTTAAAGAGGTTTTCCTTCTATCTCAGATCATCTCTCTGTTTATGCAGTGCATATGAGTCAAGACAGAGCATCAGTTCAACTGGAATAGCTGCAGTTGCTGCAGTAGCATTTGCTGCAGTTGCTGCTCGTGCGTGTGTTGTTGCATGCATGCTGTTGTTGCTGTGTTTTTATACATTTCTTATTCAGGTTTTTTTCTTCTGTTCCTTTCTGTTTCGCGCCCATCGCCCCCGACTTTCTTGTTGGGGTTGGCTCCTGTGTTGTCT